ATAAAAATTGTGCATAAGTTAACGAGTAATCTTCTAAGTGTTATACCATTTTGGAATCCTTATTAGATGCGCCAACTTTTAAGGTTACTTGCCAAACTCTCGTAGTACATTTTTTTCCAGTACAGCCAGTTAAAGTTGAGCAAAGTTTTACTTTGGAATACTTGGTTTGGAAATAAGTGGCAATTTTTCCTGAACGAGAAAAGTTGGCAGTAAGGTTGAGACACCAGTTTGAAGATGCATTATTCATCATTACATTGTAAAAATAAAATCCAAAAAAAGTTAGTATTTGTAGTAACAGGAGCTGACAGACTGCCGTAGGGTGTGAAATTTCTATATTTTTTTCAAAGACCTATAATTTTCAAAACACATACATAAATTTTTTTTTTATATTTTTCTGATAGCTGCTATGACTTTGCCTATCACCCGGTTTCGGCTTGACGTCAACTTCTGGGACACCCTGTATATGAAACAGCATACAACTATTTATAATCAAAATAATCATATTTTTGACTCATCAATATGTCCCCTTTTACTTTTAATTACAGCCTGGTTAATGATGGGTAAACGCGCAACTATTTTTTCTAAAGTGGATGGGGTTATTTTTCGCCATTCGTCTTGTAATATTCTCCATAAGTCTTCTTGGGATGTAGGACAACATTTACGTACTTGTCTGTCCAGTTCATCCCACAGCAACGCTATCGGATTCAAATCCGGGGATTGGGGAGGCAATTGCATGACTTTCAAAATATTTTGTTCTTCTTTTGCTTCCAAAAATTGTTTACAGAGCTTGGGTGTGTGTTTGTTCCACCAAAGCGGAACCAACAAAACAGCCCCAAATCATTTTAGAGCCTCCACCGTGCTTGACTGAAGCGACGGTGCATGACTCTAATGCCCTCTCGCTAAGCTAACGGCGGACAAATACGCTTCTCATGGAACCAAAAACTTCAAATTTCGATTCATCGCTCCAAAGGACCTTCTTCCAGTTAGCATCTGTCCAATTTTGATGTTGTTTGGGCCAGTTCAGTATCTTTTTTTGTTAGTAGCACTGAGGAGTGGCTCCGATACTTCTAAAACCTTAAGTCCAGCTTCTTTGAAATAAAACTGTGTTATGGGTTTACGTACAACACAAATTGAAAGAAATACTACTGAGCGGTGCCGTAGCAAATGCTTGTTCCGGAAGTTGTATCCAGTATAAAACTTCTTCTCGTTCAAGTGATTGTGCACGCGAATACCTCAGTACCGATTGCCGGGTGGCGGTACAAGTCCGCCAACGGGCCACGTTAGGTCTATTTAATGTCATTAACACGCAAAAAGAAGATGGTAGACAAGGACCAGTCGTCCGAGGCGGTAACACCCGCTAGCTTTTCTCAGGGTGTCTTATAAATGTCCACACATAAGCTATGTTATCTTCCAAAACAAATAAATTAATTGTGATGGATCTCCCGAGCACTGTGGGCTGGAGGGAACAACATCGAAGTTAAAACTTGTTTCTCGAACATCTGCGGGATTAACAGCAATATTGATGCTGTTCATCACCACCTGCAATCCAATCATCCCGCCGTGCTTTTCTTGGCGGAGACAAAAATCTCAGAGTCTGCACCGATTAACCATCTCAACTTCCCAAACTACGAGTTGCACTCTCCAATCTGATAAAGAACGGGGGAGTTGTGGCTTTTGTCCTCAGCAGTATTTCCTGCTCCAGAGATGTTTCTTTGGAATCAGACCGGAAGGACATTCTGTGGCTTCGCCTCAACTGCAAACCATCACTCAAATTTATTTGCTGCCTTTATCGCTCACTCTCGGACCACAACTGGAATGACCTACTTGAATACCTCGCCGTTCAGATCGACTTCCTGAACATCAATCACCCCGCTTCAGAGGTAGTTCTTCTAGGTGATTTCACTGCCCATATTGAGCTTTGGTTTAGCTCAAACAAGACCGATGCAGCAGGTCGTGCAGTCGATGCGTTCGCTCTTACTCAAGGGCTGACCCAGCTGGTGACGAGCCCTACTTTTTTCCCCCGAGTCTCGTCACACGCCAGTATCCTGCTGGATCTCTTTCAAAATGACAACCGGGCGTTATATTCAGGAAGTAGTGGAGCCTCATATTAATCCATACATAAACACCATCCAAAACCCGACAAGCAAGACAATGCCAGATCGCATGTTGCCAGAGCATCGTTAGCCTTCATGGATCAACATCGCATCAACCTTTTACCTTGGCCACCACGATCACCTGACCTATCTCCAATTGAACATGTCTGGGACGTGATAGGTCGCAGGCTCTTGCATTTGAAATACCCTCCACAAACTTTAGCAGCTCTTACTCACAAAGTTGCAGCAACCTGGAATGAGATACCCTAACAGGATATCCACCACCTTATCAGCACGATGCCCAGGCGTGTCAATGAGTGTATAAGAAATTGTGGATCCTCAACACATTATCGAACCAGCTTCTGCAGTCAGTTGATGAATCAAGCTGAAAATTTAATCATTTTACTAGTAAGGGGGGACAGAACATACAGTGACAGGTAAATAGGTGTAAAACATTTTAGGAGGTGATAGTACAGCCCCTTTGCTATCGAAATTAGTATATAATACCAAACCCTATATTCAAAGGTTGAAAAGTTATTGAAGATTTAAAATTTTTTTAAAAACAATCCATATTTCAGAGTAAAAAAGTCGAGAGAGAAAAAGGTTGGCGATTAAACATTTGTTTTTTGTGGTTTTGGGTTATTATTTCAATAATTAACTATTATAAATTAAAAAAGATTCGATAACAATACCAAACAACGTATTTATTTTCATTCAAAAATGTTTAACTAAGAAAAACAAATAACGTTTTACAGTAAGTAAGGTGTTTTACAAAAAAATCAGTATACAAAAAAATGTACAAACAATTTAAATAATATCCTTGTTTCATAAGGAATCTAAATTGGTATGATAAGTGCACAAAAACTGTGTGAAACTAAACATAATGTATTGTAATACAACAATAGGGAGTAAATTTACCAATGGCTTGTCTCCTATTTTCACAACTCTCTGATTGATAAGAAAGTGTTTTTGTGAAAATAATGTAACTGTACACACTGTACTGACTTAAAGTTACCACAATTGGTAAGTAAAATACAATAATGAAATGAAGCCCGAAGTCTTTTTCTCATGTTGGTACGCGTGATGCGGCCAGTTAGTTGTCCTCTGATAGTGTCAGCAGCAGCAATAATTCTTTCTTTCAACTGTGCAAGAGTGTCTATGGGCTCAGCGTACACCAGTGACTTCATGTGCCCCCATAAATAATAGTCACACGGTGTTAAATCTGAGCTCCTCGCTGGCCACGGTGTCGGTCCACCTCGGCCAATCCAGCGACAAGGATATTTCTCGTCCAGCCACTGTCTAACACAGAGACGGAAATGCGCGGGACAGCTTTCGTGTTGGTAGATCATCTGCATCCTGATATTCAGAGGCAGGTCTTCGAGATACTCCCAGAGTTAGGATCTCAAAAAGTTCTCACAGGATTCGCCATTCAGGTTGTCAGGCAAAAAAACTGGTCCAATTAGATACGTATGAATGATTCCGATCCACCCGTTTGCCGAAAATCTTTGATGGGCTCTTGGCTTTGCCATGTGGGGATTTGCCTCTCGTGGGGCCCAATAATGTAAGTTGCGATAATTTGTTGTCCCCTCTCTGTCAAACTTAGACTCGTCGGTCCACAATATTCTGGTTAAATAGTCGTTTTCTTCTTGATCCCGATGAAGCATGTATCGACAAAAATCAATTCTTCTTGCGGGATCTCCTTCTTATAATACTTGAACCGGTGTGTAATGGAAAGGGTAAAGTCTCGCCGAATGCAAAACGAACCAAACTTTCCACTGAGTTAAACCAAGCTGCTTTGCTATAACTCGTGTAGACGTCGTCGGGTCTCTGCCGTAGCATTCCAGTATTGCCTCTCGATCTTCGTCATCAAACAACCGAGGTCTACCAGCATCATGACGTCTCTCATGAACCTGTCCACTTTCCTTGACGCGTTGGTACACAGAAGCAAATACTCGATGACTCGGTATTCGCCGATTCGGAAAACGGTTTTCGTGTTCTCGCCTGGCTTCAACGGAATTTCCATCACTTAAACCATAACAAAACAGAATATCAGCGTATTCTTCGTTACGGTAACTCGCCATTATTAAAACTGACCAAAAAAGTAAAAGTACCTCCTACCGCGTTAAAGGTTGATATTCTACTAACTAACCTTAGCGTTAGTTCCCTTTCCTTGATCCGTCAGCTGTGTCAATTCATAACACACGCATAGCTTGCTTCCGAGGAGCGACGACAGATTCCGAATACTTAAACCCGAATAACGGCACAGGGCACAAAAAATAACAAAAAGGGTCGAACCATGAAAGGCTCGGTTTACCTGCTCAGTTTACAATGAAATACGCTTAGCGGTCCTTTCTAGCAAAGTAATATTGTTTTGTTAAATGGTTTACTTACTGATATGTTATTATACCATTTTAGAAACCTAATGAAACGAGGAAGTTTTTGCAGTTATTTGTACATTTTCTTTGTTATCATTTTTTCGAAAAAAAGACTTCTTAATGTGAAAGTTGAAAATAAAAATTTTCATTTAACGTTTAAATGAAAATAAATACGTTTTCAGTAGTGTTTTCATATGTTTTTTAATTTATGAGAATTATTTATTTAAATAATAACCTGAAACCACCAAAAAAAGAATGTTTAATCACCAACTTTTTTTATCTCAACTATTTTACTCTGTTTTTTTAAAAAAAAATAAATCTTCCATAACTTTCTAACCTTTGAATATAGGGTATGGTATTATATACTAATTTTGATAGCAAAGGAGCTGTACTGTCACCTCCTGAAATGTTTTACACCTATTTACCTGTCACCCTGTATATGCCAAAAATTATCAAAATCGGATAAACATACGTAGGTGTTTACCTTTTTTGTCACTCTGTATATTTCTCAGCTAATTGCTTTTTTCTGCTTAGGGCTACACAAAATCGATAGACATATGGTCGGTGGGATGTATTCTAGCAGAAATGTTAGCCAATAGACCCATCTTCCCAGGAAAGCACTACCTAGATCAACTGAACCATATATTAGGAGTATTAGGATCACCTTCACAAGAGGATCTAGACTGTATTATTAATGAAAAGGTTAGTAAATAATGTATTAAGCCTTGGATAGATAAACTGATCCATGTATTAGGATTATCCTCAAAAGGGGATCCAGATTATTATTAATGAAACAGGTTAATTTATTGTTCAGTTTTGTATAGAGGGTGTCCCAATTTTCCGTGGACGTAGATGTACCACGTATTTTTAGACTCAAAATCAGTCATTCACCTCTATGCAAAACTGCTTCATTTGTCCGTTAGAGCGCGTCGTTTTCTTTCTAAAACACATTTTTTAGGATATTGTAAGAAGCGATAGTCCGATTTGAATGAAATTTGGAACACCCCGACCCCTACATAAATTAGAGCAGAATTTTTTCCAAACTCTCCCAAGGACTATGATTTTTTTATTCAAAAGGTACAGAGTGACAGTGACATATTGATTTATCTGTTTTCTAGGTGACAGTTTGTTTTTGCTGCTACTACACAGTATTGCAATTTTTCATTTAGGGATGTAGTTGATATTCTCTAAACCAACGAATTCAAATAGATTAGGAGACAAGCATTGTTTTTCGCCAAAATTGCGTAATTTTAGTGCATACTTTTGACTCATTTGACTACCACTGCCTACCAAAGTGACAGCGTTGTACGAGGCAGAAGTCTGTATACAGGGTTATCCAAATTAAGTGTCCACCATTAGTAACTTTGTTATTAGTGAAAATACAAAGTTGTTTGAATTAGCAAACTAGTAGCATTTTTAACGCTGGTAAAAATGAGAAATAAAAAAAAACAATTGAGAGTCGTTATTTTGATTTTTTTCAGTAAAATAACATTTTTTTAAATGGAAACCCCTGTATATTATATTTTTTTCTGTTAAAGCATCAAATTTTAAACAAAAAGTTCATAATGACTTTTCCGCTAAAGTCAAAAATAAAGTCAAAATAACGATAAATATTTTTAATTATTTGCAGTATTATAATATTAAGACGGCTATGAAAACAACATGGCGTTCGCGATTTGACAGCATTAAGATAAGCGACAAATTGTTAAACTGGACATACTCGCAACTAGAAGGCTTTGGAAAACAATGAAAAAATCAAATAATGTCAAACATTAGTGTAAATACTTGTTTATAAGCTTTATTGTGTCATTAATTTAAAGAAAAATGTTCTCCCATGAAGAAAAGTGTGATATGTTAGAATGCTATTTAGTGTGCAGAAAATCCTCCTTGAGAGCAAGAGAATACTACAGTGAATTATATCCCGCTCGCATTCAACCGTATGAACGATATTTTCTGAGACTTTGTCGAAAATTTAGGGGCAACGAAAATGTTTTTGCTAAAACAAGGGCAAAAAAAGAATTCATAATAAGCGAGGCCACGGAAATTGCAGTTATTGGATATTTTGAAGCTTATCGTGAGAATTCAATAGCAGATATTCTCAAGGACTCTAATTTCAGTTATGGTACTGTTCAAAGGATTTTAAAAAAATACAAATTTATTCCGTATAAGTACCGACCAGTTCAAATGCTTTTGGCAGGGGATCCAGAGAGAAGACTTGTTTTTTGCCATTGGTATCTTAGCTTCTGTCGCCAAAATGTAAATAACTTTCGTTACCTTTTATGGACAGATGAATCAAATTTTTCAAATTCTGGAATGTTTAATAGAAAAAACCACCATTATTGGTCAAGAGAAAATCTTTTGTTAGTACATCCAAGAGGCCCACAAGTCCGTTTCAGTTTCAACGTTTGGTGCGGTATAATTGGTTCAAAAATTGTTGGCCCGTTCTTTTATGAGGGAACCCTAACTGGTGAAAGATATGTGGAATTTATGTCAGAAATTCTGACTAATTTCTTAGACGAATTGGATCTTATAAGTAGACATCATCTGCATTTTCAGCAAGATGGCGCACCTGCCCACAACTCCAGAGGTACTTATCATTTTCTAAGTACTACTTTTAATGATCAGTGGATAGGAACAAATGGCCCAATACAGTGGCCTCCCAGATCACCAGATCTAAACCCACTTGATTACTTCTTGTGGGGTTACTTAAAGAACCAAATTTACAAGCGAAGGTACGATAACCTTGACGCGTTAAAGACTGCAGTTAGGGAAAAGATAACCCAGATAGATGGTAGGACCATACTTAAGACAGTTCGAGCAGTTGAAAAACGTGCCCAAAAATGTATTGAAGAACAAGGTTGTGTTTTCGAGCATCTTCTTTAAAAAAAATTGTTATTGTATTTTGTAAGATTATAAGTTGATGTTGAAAATAAAGTTTGTCGATACAATTTAATTGTTTCAGATTGGAGGCCATAACTTCAACAATTTGTAACCTAGGAGAAAAGTTATTGTAAGCTTTTTTGTTTAAAATTTGATGCTTTAACAGAAAAAAATATAATATACAGGGGTTTCCATTTAAAAAAATGTTATTTTACTGAAAAAAATCAAAATAACGACTCTCAATTGTTTTTTTTTATTTCTCATTTTTACCAGCGTTAAAAATGCTACTAGTTTGCTAATTCAAACAACTTTGTATTTTCACTAATAACAAAGTTACTAATGGTGGACACTTAATTTGGATAACCCTGTAGACACATATGTGAGAACGAGATAGAAGCCGGTTGGTGAAGCTCATCACCTCGTTGCCTAGTAACGCTGGCGCGGCAATCTGTAGCGTTGCCAGTATATTACACGAGTTCCTCGAATTAAGATGCATGTTGAAAATATGCGTTAGTTTACTATCTACGCCCAAGTAGTGGTTTTATTTTGAACGTACACATTTTTGAATTGTGTCGAATCTGTTTAGGATCGATTCCAGATCGGTCCTAACGGCGCTCAATTTTAGGTCGAAATGACAGATCAGGTCCGCCACAAATTCTGCAACATTGCATCATATCGCACATTCCAAGGCAAGGTTTCCACGTCCATGATCGATTTTGGTCAGTACGCATCTAGCGCTCATTGGGAAGTGTCGCCCCGATTTGAAATGATTTTCACCTGCGTACACGCAGCCTGTGGTAATTTGTGTTACGTAATGGTACTTGTTAATGTAACAATAACTCATGATTTTTTTTGTTGAATATTTATTTAGCATTAATGCTACAATGTCAATTTTGTATAATGATACGGTTACATATCTTTCTTCAATCCATTTTCTGTAATTTTACATTCTTGTCTATTAAAATCACTACCCCATCTTCGAAATGCATTTTAGATAATTCAGTCTTTCTATTAGGAGAAACAATATTCTTTAATGTTTTCCACATCATTTTAGAATTATTTTTATTGCTATCGATCTTCTTATCGTGGTATTTTTTCTTTTTCATCCTGAGAACTGCTACACACTCATTTCTTGATTTTGTACAGGGTGTCCGCAAAATTGGGGTTTTCCTTTACACGACGTGTAGATCTTGAAAACATAAGCAATTTTTCTTAGTACCATATACACCAATGTCTCAAGAGCTCTGCAACATCAAAAATATCTGAATACCGTCCTTTAGCCGCGAAATCCCCGAGTGGTACTAGGACACTAGCTCAACCCGACGACAGAACTGGGTCGGGGTCAGTGTGTCAGGTCAGTATGCAACCTTCAACCGACGGTTACGGTCACGCGTGTAGAGATAATCGCGTAGACGTGAATCCCTCAACAAGCACTAGAGACGAGGCTAGAGAAGTGCAAGTATCAAAAACTAAAGTGTGGCAAACGCTGCGTGAAGAGGGGCTGTATCCGTTTCACGTTCAACGTGTACAAGCCCTTCAACCTGACGATTTTCCAGCAAGAGTGCGGTTTTGTGAGTGGTTGTTGCATCAACATGACAATAATGCGGACTTTTTGAAGTGCATATCGGTGACAGACGAATCTACGTTCACGCGTAATGGGGTGAATAACTTTCGCAACACTCATGTTTGGTGAATATTTGGGCTGGCATGGTGAACGGTCATTTTCTGTTGAGTACTTTTTCCTTTATTTTTTTTTTACTTGGTCGCATTCGTTTTACTACACATTACCTTTGTTATTTCAAGGGTAGTTGTTTCTGAAAAGGAAAACCCCAACTTTGCGGACACCCTGTATATATATATATATATTAATGTCTCATCAGCAAATAGTTGAATTTTGCAGTGTTGCAAAGCAATTTCGTTAACAATTTCTCCCTGTCAATAATCTCAAATGCTCTCTTGAAATCTAAGAACAGTGTTACTGGGAGAAACAATATTTTTTAGTGTCTTCCACATCATGTTACTGTTATTTTTATTGCTATCGATTTTGTTTTCATTATATTTTTTCTTTTCGTTCCTAAGATTTGTTAAACACTTGTTTCTTGATTTCTTATATTGTATCCGAATAAATTACAGTATTAGACAAAAACAAGATCTTAAAATAGTTGTACCTAATTCAACACTTATAGTCGTCTGAAAATTCACATGTGCCTCCTGATGATCAAAAGAATCAACAGTTCAAAGATATTTTGCATGTTTCAATAAGTATTAAAAAAACTATATATTTATTAGGCACGCAGTTATCTTCAGTCTCTTCCATACAAACCAAAAGTGCCATGGTCGAAGTTGTACCCGAATGCGGACCCAAAAGCGCTGGACTTGCTGGACAAGATGCTCACTTTCAACCCACACAAGAGGATAGTCGTAGAAGATGCGTTGGCACATCTATATTTGGAGCAGTATTACGATCCAGCGGACGAGGTTAGTCATAATTTGGGATATCTTATGAATTCAATCAACAAATCTTTGTAACTGCGTAACAAATAAAGTACGAGCCCCTTCCCACTTCAGTTGGCCCACTTCAAGATTTGTACCAAAATATGCCTTTATAAACTAAACATGACGAAACTATTTACTTCTAAAATAATTTATTTTCTCAAAATCATTTTAGATACACTCTAGTCGTAAAAAATACATATTTGAAATCACTTAGACCTATAACTAATAGAACATCTGAACAAATAAACAATGTGCGAATAAATGCGCGAAGTTGACAAAGCATCAACTGAAAGATTACCATTGGGTAACATCATCTTTATTTTTTGTTACGGCTGAAATTCTTTGGGGCAGTGTTAACCAAGTTTTGGCAAAAAATTGGTGTAAAACAATCCCTTATTTCGTGAAGCTTTTGTCTCAGTTCGGTGATTGTTGTCGTAGAACCTTTTTCATCTCGTGCCACAAAGTTTCAATAGGTGACAGATCTGGACTGCTAGAAACCCATTTCAAAAGTGGTACATCATTTTCTTCCATCCATTTTATAGCCTTTTTTGAGGTATGGCACGCTGCACCATCTTGCTGAAACACAAAATCTTGGCCAAATGTCAAACATTCTTCCATCACTGGTAAAAGCGATTCTTCTAAAATTGCAAAATATTTATTTGTATCCACATTTCCATCAATAAAATGAAGTTTTCCTACTCCTTTTGATGACATACTGCCCCAGACCATAATGGATGCTGGAAATTTCACTTTTCTCTTCAGACAGTCAACATGGAATGCTTCATCTTTTTGCGAATAACTCTACTGCGACTGTCACCAACACAAACTTCGAATCCGGCCTCATCACTCCATTTTATTGCACACCATTGTTGAGGTGTCCATTGTGTATGTTCTTTAGCCCATCTAAGCTGATTTTTCTTTTGCAGTGGAGTTAATAGTGGCTTTTCTTTGGCCTATAAACAAGTTATGCAACTTTAGGGTTTTTAATTCACTTTTTTTTTATAAGAAAACTTACCTTGCAAGTGCTAAATCCCAGTTTGTGGGCCTCTCTATGAGTTGTGGACCTCGAAATTCTCCTTCCAACAGCGTCACTCCACAGAGCACTTAATTGTAAATAATTGGCACGCCTGTTTTTCACGATTATTCCTCTTAATGCTCTTCGGTCGGCATTTGTGATATTACTTTTTTCACACATCGTGGCTTAATATTAACTGAACCAGTTACGTTATATCTTCTAACAATATTTCTCACACTGTACCGCGATAAGTCTAACAAGTTGCAATTTCTGAGTTTGATTTCCCAGAATTAAAAAAAATAATTATCAGTAACCGAATTTTCTCACTAATAACCTTTCCTCTACCCATTTTGAAAACTTTAACTACCCAAAACTATTTTAAACGTATTCTGACAGCTGTGATTAATAAAAACAATTGTCATGGCCTTTATTTTTCACAGCCACCTATGCGTTATAGACTTATTTTGCATTGAAATGAAAATAGGTTGATATGTTGTAATTGCAACATGTGTTATTTTTATGCTGCAAATTTGAATAGGGAGTGATAAAGTTGGTGTTTTCTACTATATATTATCAAAATATTCATTGTTAATATTTTAAACCTATTAACACCCTGCTACATTTTTATTATTTGTGTTTGATAAGGGAAAAACTAAGATTTCAATAGTTGGGCCAACTGATGTGGGAAGGGGCTCGTACTATTTCTTCTAGAATTGCTAGGATATAAGATGGTGATAAGGTGTTATTTTGGAGCGGGGTAGCGATGACGATTTAAATCAAATGATTTAAATAATAATTTAAAACAACTGACTATTTCAATTTTAATCGTGATATAAATCAAATTATAAATTGCTGTCGCCGGTGCAAGTAACTGAACACTCATCAGGAAATGCAAAAAAGGAAGATACTTTTTTCTAAAAATTATTTTTAATATGTAATTCTGGATGGTTTTTAAAGGTTTTAATGCTGTCTCATATAAGCTTCCCCAGACAATTAACCCGCATCTGAGTAATGTCTCCACTAAGGCTTTATAGACACAGATTAATAAGTGATTGTTTAAAATTTCTCTATCTAATTATCTAATTAGCTTTCGTAGATTGTTAGTTAACCTAAGCACATGTTGCTTGCATTTAAAATTTTGATCTATTATTACACCAAGGTATTTGGTGTATGTTACCTCTTTTATTTCATTTCCAAAACCGTTTACTTGTATGCTGTTAAGATTTGGTCGATTTGCTGATGTTAAGGAAAAGGCTATGTAATTAGTTTTATCCACATTTAAACTAAGTTTAGATGAATCAAGCCAATATTTTATTTTTTCTAATCCAAGAGATGTTTTTTCATATACCTCTTCCCATATTTTCGCCACAAAGACCACGACGGTGTCATCAGCGTATGAAACCACCATACCATTTTCTAGAATAATATCTGTCAAAGAGTTCATATATAATATAAATAGTAATGGCCCAGTAACGGTGCCCTGAGGCATGCCCATTTCTATTTCTGACGAGTCTCTGATCACATTTCCAATTTTAGTCATATGTATTCTACCTGTCAGGTAACTCGCAAAGACCTCCTACACAACACCCCTGATTTCATAAATATCGAGGACATCTAAAAGGGAATCAAATGCCTTTGCAAGGTCTAGGAAGGCCGCAATGCATTTCTTTCCTTGATCAAGATTTTTTGAAATGGTTCTTGTAAGCTTAAGTATCGCATGTGAGGTACTGATGCCATTGCGAAGACTAAATTGATTTTCTGACAAAACATTATTACTAGATAAACAGCTTGATAATCTCTCTTTAAGACACTTTTCGAATATTTTAGCGAAATTCGTAATAACTCCAATTGGACGAAAATTTGTAATTTTAGTTTTATCTCCAGATTTATATATTGGGGTAACAATAGTGGTTTTATATCATTGGGGTACACAGCCAGTTTTAAAAATTAGATTTATGATGTGTACTCAATTAAGAACAAATGATATTTCTTTATAATTTTTGTTAGTATTCCATCAAAACCGGGTGAACAATTGTTTTTCAATGAACTGATATGTTTAATAATCTCATTTCTGTTGACAGGCGTTAAAAACATGGAACTTAATGATTTATATCTAATTTTGAAGGGAATATCAGGGGGTTTTATTTTGCAAGCCATTTTCTTCTAATGAAAACATTGTTGCAGTATTCACTCATTTGTTTATCATTTGTGAATGTTTTGTTATTATCTTCACTAATTTCAATTTTGCTAGATTGTTTACTTTTTTTCATTAACAGCATCAGAAATAATTTTGTAAATCTTTTTAAAATTTCCATTGATTTGTTCCTTATAATAGTAAAATTTTTGTTTATTAATTATTTTATTTAGGTTGTTTCTGTAGTTTACATTCGTATCCCTATCCAATAAGTTATTATTATTAAAGCGTTTTTTTCAATTTATCCCGTTTATTTATAACTAAAATTAGTCCATTAGTAATCCATGGTTTAAGTTTTCTATGCTCGTTATAATATACCGCTTTTTGAATGGTTGACCTTTTAATAGATAGACAGATAGATAGATAGATAGTTTATTGTCCTATTAGATCTTGTTACATGATATAAGACTTGTTAATATCAATTTGAGGGTCATATATGCGTTTGAGCAAATATGCCAGAAAAATACTTATAATTATAAAATAAATAAGGACATTACAATTACAAAACATTTTAAAAGGTTAAATCACATTATAGGTACAGATACAGTGCAAGAATCGTAATGTGTAAAAGTATATACATATACAGCGACTTTTTTATCACAAAAAATGTTCGTCTAGCCGGTAAAAATCATTGAAGCTGATACAAAGAAAAGAAAAGCGGTAGGATAATCTGTTAGAAATACATAATATATAAACACAATAAACATCGAGCAGTGAGGACAAATGGTTAAAAGCTTAAAAAGAAAACATACATACTTTCGTTAAAACTCGAATAAAAAGTGAAATTAAAATACATTTACTCCACGATAATAGACTATTCACTGATAACGAAATGATTAACAGCTTAAAAGAATTTAAAAAACAGATACTTTCATGTGTTAGTAAAACTCAGGTAGAGAGTAATAGCATTTTTCAACCAGATATTTCCTGAGATGTTGTTTCAGCGCAAGGATATTAGTGCTTCTCCGCAACTCACTCGGCAGATTATTGTATACCTTAGTGCACGCTAGAGTGGGAGATTTTTGGAATAAGCATATCAATTTTAATATTAAGATTGTTTGCTGCAACTTCCAAGTTATTTACGTCCAAGATCTCTCTCCATCTTTGCTGCTTAATTAAATTCTCAAAAGTTTGATAATTCAACGAAGAAAGCGTTTAAGGTATTTGTTTATTACCTTGAATATGAATATTTTTATTTTTATGTGACAGGTTAATCAATATTGGATAATGATCCGTTATGTCATTTTGTAAAATAAATGAAGTAAGTTGATGGAAATCTGTTTTTAAGCTGTTTCTTATAAAAATGTCATCCAGACATGAGCTGCTGGTTGGTATTACGCGGTTGGACCATTTATTGTACTATAAAAGCCGAGAAAGCCTAAAAGTGAAAGATAAGCATTAACATCTATCTCTTTCTTAGAGATATCAAGATTCATGTCGCCAATCAGAAATTCAATCTTATTTTTTTTGTTTACCAGTCGTCAAAAAATAATTGCAAAGAGCTGGAAGGTGGTCTATAACCACAAAAAATTTCGTAAGTGATATCACGAAGATTAAACGTAATTTCACACATAGTGACTTTTGATTTATTTAAGGTTGAATGAATGACCGAGGCACTTATATCATTCCGTATGTACAGGGTGACTTTGAAGTTGAGTCATTAATTTTCAGATAATGATTGTAGAAGGAAGATAAACCAAAATATGTGTGTAAAAATAAAAAAAAATGTTACCTCCCGGCAAGTATTCCAGTGCGGACCTGTGCGCCCAAAAGCATGTCACAAAAACTGTTCGAAATGATTTCCGTTTTGCTCGACGCACAGCTGGGCGCGTCTTAGCCATGTCTCTTTACAAGCACGCAATAAAATCACTGGTTGATTTCTGATCACTGTACTCATTTCCTCAATTCGAGCACGTAATTCTTCGCGTGTATTAACCGATGTTTTATACACTAGAGTTTTTAGCCAACCCCACAAACAAAAGTCTAAAGGAAGTCCGGAGACCTTGGCGGCCAAGGTACAAAACCGCCACGGCCGATCCAACGATTATTAAATTGTCTATTTAAAAATTCACGCACATTTCTTGCATAATGGGGTGGTGCCCCATCTTGTAAAAACCACTTGTTTTGTCTAATATTTAAAGGCACATCTTCCAGTAAACCAGGCAAATTGTGTTGCAAGAAATCAAGATAATTTTCACCAGTCAAGCGATTTGGTAATTCAAAAGGCCCCACTAAAATTCCATTAACAATTCCCGCCCACAGGTTGATTGGTTCAAATCGCTGTTGAAAATTGGTTTCCATTATTTCATGGGGATTTTCAATAGCCCAAACGTGAGAATTACGTGAATTAATAATTCCGTTTCTAGTAAAGAGGGCTTCATCACTCACTAAAATGATTTAAAAAATTGTCATCATTTTGATGTTTATTTAAAAGCCAATTGCAAAAGTCAACCCTTTGTTCATGATCTTCCGGTTGTAAGGCCTGCACTTTTTGTATGTGAAACGGATAGAACTGATTTTCACGTAGAGTTTTCCAAGTTTTATATTGACTAATCGCCAATTGAGTTGAAATTTGTCGGGTGCTTACTGTTGGATCATCACTTACTAATTCTAAAATTTGTTCTTCTAGTTCTATTTGATCGTGCGGTCCGGCATGATCTCCTCTGTGAGGTCTTAAGTCACCTGATTCACGAGCTCTTTGCACCAGATTAACAAAGGCACGAGGGGTTGGTTACACTCGATTGGGAAACCGATCCGCATAGATCCGTGATGCCGCGGCAGCATTTTGAAAAGACTCCCCGTAAATAAGAACCATGTCCACAAGTTCAGCATTTTCGTAAACATGTGCCATTTTTGATTTGAGCCACGCAACAGACACGACTATTCACTTACGCGTTACCGACTACCGACTGACACTGACTGTATACAACTGAAGAAAATAATTGTAAAAACATCGTTCCAAATTCTTTCGCTTTTTTGTTTCCGATGCGATGAACGGATAAGGCGGATTATATCTGTTGTTGCCAAACAAGAGCACATAATATTATTATTGAGACAGGGCGGTACTCAAACTTCCAAAGGGCTATAACTTTGTTACTTTAATTTTACCAGAAAAATGGTAAAGGAAAAAACATTTATTTTGATCAGATCTACTCACTGTTAAAATAAATGACTCAACTTCGAAGTCACCCTGTATAAAATAGTGCCATCATTTTTATTGAAGTTTGCATTATTGTAGTAAACATTAAAATTTTCAATATTATAGATGTTTATATCCTCAATAGTCAGTATGATAATATCACAGTGTTTAAGATCATAAGATTCAAGAAAAATTAACAATTCATTAAAATTGTTATGTATACTACGAATATTGAGATGAAGTATGTTCAGTACATCATTGTTCAAAGTTATTAAAGTCTTTAACAAATCACGGTAGGTCGTACCTTGTACCTCCTCATCCACGACATCCAAAAGTTCTTCGATCTCGATTTCTTGTCTATAAGTATCCATGACACCCTACATAATCTATTTTACTTCTCTCTCTTAGATATGTGATTGTAAAATCATTACTGTCATTAATAAAACTGTTTTGCTCACGTATGCATTTCTCCAAATCAGTACTATAGAGGTTCCCAGGGTAACCAATGATTTTAAATCTGGATTGTCTCATTTTTGTTAGCTGAACTACATAATGTTTTTCCATTTGACTCTATCAACTCAAAAAAATAAATATTAATGCGATCGGGGAACGATAACGCGTGCTAACTTTCGGTCACAATTTGGATTTGAATGTTAACAGGAAACCATGTCTGGATTTCAAAACCTAATTCTCATTCGACAAATAAAACACTGCTTTATTTGCATCTTATATTTCTTAGATATTTTTCATTAAGAGAATATTACATTCTTACTAAATTTTCTTTTTACAGTCAGGATGTACCTGCCTGTGTTCTTGTACGTATTAAAAATTGTTTTTGTTCCTCATCTGCCATGGAAGTCTTGGGTAAACTTGACTGCTCAAAGAATATTATTGAAAGTTCTATTAATTCTCGGTATTCGTCTCTAGCAACTTCTTTGATCAATTCATGTCGATAAAATTCTAGCAGCTTGTCAGTCTCTGAAATATTCAGGCTTGGTAGCTTTTCAGTATAAATCTGTATTTTCCCGGGATTCACACTTTTCCTGCTCTGGTGAATATTTTTAAACATTGGAATATCAGCGCTTGTAGTCACTTGTCGATATTTGATTCAAATACGCCTTTTAAGGTGACACGTCCCTTTTTTTAGATTTCTTTTCAACTTCCTGTTTGCAGCAGTATTCTAAATCCTTTTCATCTGATAATTTCTTTACTTCATTTTTCATAATTCTTTTGCGGCTTTCAAAGCACAACTCTTTTTGTGGTCTACTAATAGATGTTGTGGTTATATCGGATCAAGAAGATATGCTAACAGACTATATGGAGTGGTGCATTGTTCGTATTGGTGTCTAAATTTTTGTATTTGACTTGAAGTAAAACGCTGATTCGAGATGTTTGAATTCTCGGACATCAGAAAGGGTTGCATCAGTTCTTTGAAGCCTAACAATGGCAACAGAAATAGGGCTCAGAATCTCTAAATAGTCTTCAACAGATCTTTTATAGATATTTGGAATTTTTTCTCTCACTACGGCGTCGATTTTATTTTGCTCCTCGCTAACTTTCAGAAGTTTTGGCCAGGATTCAATGATACTTGTAAGCAGTCAGCCAGTGAATTCCACCTCACGTCATTAGATAGAACAATTTTTTTCCACCTTTTCCGTATGTCGAAGAACCAACAACACCCTCCTTGATATCTTGAACTTCCAAATCTTTGGAAAATAAATTTAAAATATGAGCAGCGCAACAATATGTAATAACGTTCATTTTAGTGTATTCTTGTATTTTATTTCTCTTTGCGTTCATATTGGCTGCATTATGGGTATGGTACTACTACTCACTACACAGTTCTGTCAAGGAAAAAAGCAGCACAAATTGTTAATAATAAAAAAAATCACGATTTAATCGAAATAATCGGATTTTTTATTATGTTGGGATCTTTCCTATCTCAGCAGGGCATTTGAAAATCTGTATTTCCTATTGTATAATAATTGTGGTAATAATTATTCAATTCTATCAAGTTTTCTAAATGTTCTGGCAAAAGACGATTTTTTATTTTAAATATAAAAATAAGAACCTAATATGATATGAATTTTTTTTTATTGTAACATAGATTTTATTTTGGTGTACTTATTTTTATTCAATATTATTCTCATAGCTTTATTTTGAGAATACAGCTTCATTGGCAGTGAACAAGATAGTTTAACAATATAGTAAATGCGGTAGAATAATTGTATTATAAACTATTTTCTTGGAATAGGTACCAAGACTATGAGAAGCCCTATAAAAGTAATTTGTTATTTTGTCAATTTTTGAAATAATGTATTTATAGTGATCCTCAAACTTTAGATACTATCAATATTTATATAAACCTAAATATTTAATTGATTCGACATTTTCAATTATTTCTCCATTTATCCTAACTGTGATAGTATTTTCATTTAGGTATTCCCTATTAGCATACATTTTGTTTTAGAAGTATTTAGTTTCAGTTTATTTACATTTACCAATTTACGATTTTCGCCTAGTTAGAATTTATCATTTTTAAAGCAGTGTCTATATTTTCATCTGATATGTATATTAATGTATCATCTGCAAATATCTGAAGTTTACAATAATCTAAAATATTACAAATGTTTAGTTTACTACCTTGTGGTATATCAACAGAAATATTTTTTGATCTTAATAATGTAGATCCAATTTTGGTTTTTTGACTTCTGTCAATTAAATAGTTTTGTAGAATTTTGAGTGCAGATCCTTTAAATCCGTAGTGATGCAATTTTATAAGTAATTTATCCCTGTCAATAGTCTCAAACGCCCTTTTGAAGTCCAAAAACACTGTTATTGTATGTTTCCTATTGTCCATACATCTCCTTCAGTCCTCTAAAACCATTTGTGTTGCCGTTTCAGTTGAGAGTTTCTTGCTGAATCCAGCTTGAAATTTGGTTAAAATGTTATTTCCCTCAATAAATTTGATGATCTGTTCGTAAATAACTTCTTCAAAAACTGGCAAAACATATATTGGCCGCATATTGGTGTACAACTCAGAATTCTTAACTTTAGAAACAGGAGTTATGGCAGTACATATGGTAAATATAATTTGCATACTTTTTTACCTGTAATACCGTATGCCTTACTACTGTAATATGTTTTTTCGTGTATTTTTTATGTTTCATTTGGACTATGCTGCAAATTTCATTAAAGGGTGTTTAACATTTTGAAATAGATTCTTTACAATTTATTATTATGCATGTTTTTGATAATAGAAATAGGCTTTTGATTGATAAATGTTATGCAATCAGGCAGGTTAGTGACTTGAATGTGGCTTTTGTCAAAAATAATGTTGGTATAAAATCACCCGATATACTTGAACCGATAATATTTAACAAGCTACCAAACGTCATTAAGGAATGATGCAATATTAATCAGTTTAAAACTAATTTGAAAGTGTTTATTGTATTTAAATGTTATTATGCCATCTCAGAATTTGACTGTTTATAATTGTTGTTTGTTTTATACATTTTTATTTATTATTTTCCATTTCAAAAGATAATAAATAATTTGAATTTGAATCAAGTAAATATACTGCGACAAGCTAAGTATGTTCTCATAGACGAATTTTGTTTCAGCCTGTAGCCGAGTCTCCATTCAAATTCGACACGGAGCTGGACGATCTTCCAAAAGAGCACTTGAAGCGACTGATCTTCGAGGAAACCATACTTTACAAGCAACGGCAGCAGACGGAGCAACAAGCGCAACCTCAGCAATCCATGAACACTTCATAGTTATATGAGATCAGTGTTTAAACGGATGGATAACGTGTGAGATTCTGATTGAGACGATTTGCGGTTAACCGCAAAAACGCGCTAGTGCTATGCGATGTGAACATCGCGTAAGACATTTCATTTATATCTATCTATGTGTTGAAGCTAAGCGATATAACTCTTGAGGTTCAATCAACAATTCAAAAAACTGTTATTTGGCGTCATTCTATTTTTCAAATCAAATATATACTGTATAATAATAGGATCCGTCATTCACCTTTATCGCGTCTGAGTAAATACTTTTCTTTATCTGCTGCTGCGCTGGCAGCAGCTTCGAGTTTTACTGAAAGGTCCTGTAGAGCAGATATGGGAAATAGCTTTCTGCTTTTGAAAATGTATATTGTAAAGTCCATTCAAACCTCATTCGCCCTGCGAGCACGCGATCGCCACCTCTATTCACATTTCGCTGCCTGCTCGGGCATTTATCGCCGGCTGACGCGCGATTTTGAACGTCGCGCGCTGGTGTTTGTTTTAGCGATGAGCAAATGAAATTTGGAAACACAATAAATCTCGACGCGTAAAACAAAAGTGTCCATGGGCCCACGAGTAGTTCCTAGACGTAGGGTCCCCAAGTTGGGTTGTCCCTAATCTATTACAGCGAATTCCTGGTAAATTGTTTCAGAATATACTTTGTGCTACTGTGTAACAATTTCAGCGGTCGTAATTGTTTGACGTACCCTTTCCAAACGTTCGGACATAGAGTGATCCTTCTGGAACGTCAAAAGTGTACTTCCCGCAAGGGAATAAGAGTGTTGTCAATCTCATTATTGGTTATCAAAAAGTGCTAAAAAGTGGCTCAATATAAAGGGTTTTCCATTAAGCACTTGACAACTTTTTTTAAATAAAACGCAAACCATTTGAGATATCTTGAAAATTTTATTATTGGATTGAAGTATGTATATTCAAAACGTTTATGTATGGAATTCGACCTCGTTCATATGTCCACCACGGGCACGTTCGCAGCGATCGATTCGTTGAACCTAATTTGCAATAACTCTGCCACATATTTCGACAGAAGCGGCCGCTACCTCTCGTTCAGTATTTTCTCTGAGCTCCTCTAACGATGCCGGCTTGTGTGCATCGACGAATGATTTATTGTAGCCTCACAAAAAAAGTATAGAGGTGTTAAATCACACGACCTAGCCGGCCATTCGACAGGATCATTATCGATATAACACGTTCACCGAATTTTGATGTCAATATGTCGATCGTTTCACCCGCTGTGTGGCTTGTGGCGCCGTCTTGTTGAAACCTCATATCATTAATATCTAGCCTATCCAGTTGACCAAAAAAATAACGTAACATGTCTCCGTTAACTGTAACGTGATGGTCATTTTCATAAACGAAAAAAAACCACTGCGATGCTCGTCTTGGCAGCTCATACGGCCTCGTTTAAACTCTGCTACCAAATATTTTACTGTTGTAAACGAAGGAGCAGACTCACCCAGAGTAGAATCCAGTTCAGCTTTTATATTGGTTGAGCTGAGGCCTTTGAAATAAAAGTTTTGTACCTACCACATAACGATGACCAATTTTCTCCATTTTCACAAATTCACTGAAAACGTTCGGTATTGATGGCTGCCAAACAAATCCTAAACAACGTGGCGTCTTCAAACTTGACACATATGCTTTATAGGTTGCATACTTTCCAATACAATGATAATTTTCAAACAACTATCGCCATCTCTAGGTCAGGCCGGGTACTTCTGGGACCACCCTCGTAATGCATATTCTGTTTGTTGACGAAGCCGTTTAGCTAAAAAATGCGCCTCATCACTGAAGATGATTTCGTTCGTCGGTTCATATGATCGAACGACTTCAGTTCTTGAGTTAACTTGATCTTATAAGGGTGCAGGCCAAGATCTCTTTGAGAAATTCGCCATAGCGTCGTCTGAGCGATGCCCAATTCTTGAGAACGCCGTGTTCTGTTCTTTTGCAACGGAAGCTTGAACAGCAGCAATATTATCGGCAGCTGTTGACTCACTGCCACGGGAACATCGAGCAGCGAATATTTGAACTCAATTTTTTTTACTAGTCTATGAATTGCTAGTCTACTGGAACGAGAATTACGAGCAAAATTAGCGTTAACGCTCTTAAAGTTGCAGTCACCGACTCGGAATTTCGTTAGTAAATTTTAATTATTTGTAAGAGTTGTTCGTTCGTGATGAAAATGTTTTCTTCACTGAATGTTTTGACATTGACAGTTCGGTAACTGATTTAAAGGTGCGTTCACAGTGAAAGTTAAAAGTTGTCAAGTCCCTATTGGAAAACCCGATATATTTTCCCCGATAAATGGGCTATCTCGTATCCATAGCTTTTTTTATAATAAAAAAACGGTCGCAGAACACGTGGTTAGAAATTAGTGGGCTGTCGCCCAGTGTCATTACATGGCTCTGTAATAATTTAGACGTTCTAAAGATAAAGTTACACAGTATTCCAAAGTAAAATTCCATCTGTGTGTGTCCCAAACTTCCGTGGTCGAAATATTATACCTAGACATAAAGTTTAAAAAAACTGTGCACCGCACTTGCAATGTGGACAACTTGGAGGTGCTATATTTCGGAAACAACTCGTAGAAAGACTGGGCCCAATTTTATTATACAGGATGTTCGAAAAATTGACGTGGATATTTAAGATGGTGATTCCTTGTTTAAAAATATGAAAAAAACTTTCTATGAACATGGGTCCGGAAATGCAGTTTTCAAGGTACAGGGTGATTGATACATTCAAAAAAAATACAATATCTTAACCCTTAAACGGTCGATGTCTCTCCTGAGATACGGTCACATGGTACTGGCATGTATTTAAAAACCCATTAAAATGTAGCGAATTGGGCAGTGTATAGTGTGAGATACATTCACTAGTTAATAAAACAACAAATACTAAAGTTCCAAAAAGGGCAGTGGCGTACATTTTTTTGCCAATAATATTCGCTAAGGTGCCTCCGGGATGCCACTGAACATAATAGTTTTAATATATTTAGGGCTAAATTATCATCTTAATTCAACAAATAATATTGCAAAATTTCAACAAAAATCCAGTAAATATGTTTTAAGCATCTAAAAATACAACTTCTTTGCCTCTTGTATTTTTGGGTATCTCACTTCGTTTTCGAGAACCAAAATTAAAACCGTTTTATTGCATGTCACTAGACAAAATCGGTGTATTAATTTTTGATAACAAAATCACAAGTGCCTTGGAAAACAAAAAATCAAGAAAAATGTCCAGGAAATAATGTACAGTACATCAAGTGTTGGGAATGTTCACCATCCTTTTCGGTACACCTTACCCGACGAATCATTGAACGATGAACTCGAGCTAAAATTCGAGGTCTATTATATCTTCGCAAGCATTGACGATTTTATTTCTCAATTCTTCTATAGTCTCTATGGGAGTAGCGTAAACCATCGTCTTAAGGTGTCCCCATAAATAAAAATCTAGTGGATTTAAGTCAGGGGAGTGGGGTGGCCAGTGGATTGGTCCAGCTCTTCCAACCCGATTTTCACCAAAGGTGTGATTCAGATGAGTTTTGACAGGTATACTAAAATGCGGAGGAGCTCCATCGTGCATTAAAGTTATTTGGTTACGTACATTTAGAGGAACTTCTAGCAGAACTTGTTGAAGACACTCTAATTAAGATTCGCCGTTTAATCTTAAGGGTAAAAAGAAAGGCCCAATTAAATTGTCACCGTCCACCACCCATCCACACATTTAAAGAAAATTGTTCCTGGTAGCGACATTGTTCGTAAGCATCAGGTTTTTCGTCACTCCATACATGATTGTTATGGTAATCAACATACAATCCTGCTTCGTCCGTAAACAGTATGGTTTTATTAAAAGTCCTATTATTATCAACCTTTTGGTAATACCATTGGCAAAACTGCAAACGAGGTAGAAAATCTTTTGGTAATGCTTGCACACGTTGGACATGAAAGGGTACAAAAGAAGAACCTGCCACACAGTGCTGTTGGAAAGATTACGCCCTAATCTAGTTGCTATAGTCCTGGTACCGATACCAGTATTTAAATAACATTATTGTCAAAAACATCACCAAAAAGAAATAAGAAAATGTATCTCTTTCCCGTAATCTACGGCCTGTGCTTTCAAGGCTTCGACTATCTGGAAGTTGCCGATTGGGAAATGCTTCTGCATACAGGCGCCTCGCTGCATAACAGTTACTATAAGCACGTGAATACATTACATACATGTCTGCCATTTCCTCAAAAGTGTAAATTTAGAGAAATTTCGCAAATAAAAATTCGTGAATAATACTTTTTTAGACGAACTGACGCAGATGTGGATGTCAAATCTTTATGAAGATATGATTTTTTGTTTTCAAATGCACTTGGTTTTTTGTTGCATAAAATTAATAAACCAATTTTGTCCAGTGACATGCAATAAAACTGAGAAATGAAAAAATACAAGAGGCAAAGAAGTTGTATTTTTAGATGCTTAATCAAACAAAAATATTAAAGTCTTTTTGCCAATAATATCCGCTAAAGTGCCCTCCCAGGACGCCACTAGACCTAATAATTTAATCTATTTAGGGCTAAATTAACCTCTTAATACAAAGAATAATATTACCAAATTTCAACAGAATCGAATAAATATTTTTTTAAATTAATAATTTTTTTTCAATTTATCACACTGTATCTTGAATACTCTCCATTTCCGGACACATGTATACAGCAACTTTTATCATATTTTTTAACACGGAATCACCCTCCGTGTATTTTTTCGAACACCCTGTATTGCAGTTAATTTTCTTACACCCTAATGACGTAATCTGTGCTAAATCGTCTTATGCGATATGTGATTTTGAATGCACTTCAAGAGTTTATTATTATACTGTGAATATTTGTAGTATTATTTCAGTTTGGAAGGACAGTTCTTCCACAATGAAATTTCAATCGATACATGATCACAATGAATTCTTACTGTTTGTATTAAACCTGTGGCATCCGTAAGCCAGAGGATGTGTAAAGATTACACACATTTTAATGGCTGTAGCAAAAAATATCACTGGTCATTTTTTTATAGTGGGAATGCCCAAATTTACAAAATTGGAAAAATCCAAATGTAGTAGGGAACTCAACTTTTTTTGTTAGTTCGCAAATGTTGATATCTTGTAAGTAGGTTCCCGTTTAATTTGTGGCCTATTCATATTTTTAAAGAATAATATCAGTAATTCAGAAAACATTTTAAACACATCCTCTGGTCAAGGATAATAATATTAATCATGAGGTCGAACGTTTTGTCTCTACCTAAAACTCCTGTTGAGGTAAAAATATATGCTGAAATGCTAGGGATTTATAAAAAATGGTCATGTAATAAGTCTGTAGGAGTTACATTGATTTTCCAGTATTAGGAAAACTGGTACCAAATATTCATTCAATCAATTTTGAATGATTCAATTGATACTTATTTTAAGCCCTGTGTGGGGTCATATACGTTATAGATGCAGCCAAAACGTCTAAATGTTCCTTTGATTCATTGATTTTTACTCGGCGTTAGTGAGATTACATTGAAATTACGGAAGTTTTACTATCACAACATTCCAATTTATTATTTTTGCCCTGAGACACCTGGCCTGATCTAGTCGACAAACTCATTGCAAATTCAAGTTGTTAAGTTTGTATCTCAATACTAAACTATTAAAAAGGCGTGTTGTATCAACATGATGGTAACACTAGCATAACTTACTTGTGGATGTAAAGGTGGTTACAGAACAAGCAAAGAAGAGGTATACCAAGAGAGGACACTGCGCGAAATGTCTTTGAAATTTACTGGTCGCTTTCATTGACTTTGTCCCTTTAAATCGGTTTGACACTGCATTACTTGTTGTCTACATGTTTTACGACAAGAACAGATTCGTAAAGGGTGGCCCAACAAAAAGGTCGCACCCCATTTGTGACTCTCCTGGTATATTTTGGGAAAAACGCTCGGACATGTCAATTTTGATTTCTAGCGAGTTTTTTTGCCTTATCATTGAGTGGCCTCATCCACATTTTTCTAAGAACATTTCACTCATCAGTCATTTAAGTTCAATTAACTGAATGTGGTTGCTATTTTCAAATTTGAGTTTGGCTCCTGATGATGATATCATAGCCTATCTATCGAAAGCTTGAGAATTCAGTTACAAGAGTACATTTTGCAAAATTTTCCATTCTTCCATCTAACTAGTTATTGACGACAATGTCTCACCTCCATTTGTGACTCTCGGGCAATTCAATTTTGTTTTCTAGCCTATAGCTGGACAATACAGGGTGATCCAAAAACAAGATATTGCGTTACATTTTAGATTTTCAAATGGAACCCCGCATTTTTTTAATTTTCAGATTCTCCATAAAGTTTTTAGTAACTTTTGTATAATAAAGCTTATACCTAGCTTAATCGTTGTGAAGCTATTTGAGTTTATAATAAAATTCGAGAAATTGTGAAAATTGACGTGTCCGAGCGTTTTTCCCAAAATATACCAGGAGATTCACAAATGGGGGTGCGACCTTTTTGTTGGGCCACCCTGAATATGAGCGAACGGCTAAAAGTGTTGACGAACCGAAAAAGACGGAATCTGTAGGTAGTGTCGTTGAAATTCAGTAGATTCAAGGGCAAAATCGGTAGGAGGAAAGAGCAAGGCCATCGCAAGATCAGCGGTGGATCAAGGGCCTTTTCGTCACGCAGCGCCGTCTATGAAAGAAAAGTATTGCACGCACACACACCACAGGTTTTTTCCTGAATAAATATCAACTCCTTTATAACTTGTACTGGTCGTTTTTCAAACTCCTTTACAGCCATCCTGGAAGCACCTTTTCTCATTCTTGTTGATAAGATTGTGAATATTTCTATGTGTTACCTATGAGCTTGACACCTGACATTTCAATTTGATATTTAAATCAAAACAAACGAGATTTTGTTTCCTTTTTGCTTGTCCGGTGATACGATAATGACGGTGATGACACAAAAACCAATACAGAGGAAACGGAGTAAGAGTGCCTGCATAATTACAGGGTGTTTCAGAACTAAGGGTTATTCATTATTCAGTGTAACAGTAGAAAAGATTTGAGTATAGGGGCCCATATCCGGAAAACTGTCACTACGGCCCTAAGACGCGTTAAAATTTAGAAAGACGATGAATTGCCTAAATAGGATTTAATGCATTTAATTTTTGCCTTTTGTACATGATATCATCACAACAATTGTTCAAAATGTGGCGTTTCTTGGAGGAACTTCTTCTCTTTAATTCGTTTGGCCAATCTATCTTTTTCTAAGTTTATTCTCCTTGTCTATCTTCTCTTGGTATGCGAGGGCGGATCAATAAGTCGGTGAATTTTTGGATTAAACACAGGTTTTTGACAAAAAAACATCTTATTTCTCAACATAATCTAATATACTTCGTCCAACGTTTCTCCAATTTTTTATCTCTTCCAAAAAAATAAGATTTGTTGAGCTCCTCATAATAGGTATTTGTCAATTGGTTTCACCGTTGGCGTCAAATCTCTTTCCGCCGAGCCATTTCTTTGAGTTTGGAAACAAGAAATAGTCACTTGGGGCTAAATCCGGAGAATAAGGTGGATGAGGGAGCAATACATAGCCCAAGTCATGCAATTTCGCCATGAAGACTGCAGATGTGTACATTCTTGCATTGGCTTGTGGAAAAGAACTTTGTTCATGGTCAACAGTGGTCGTTTTTTCTTCAAATGTCGGTGAATGTGTCGTCCAATGAGCTGGCATAATATTCGCCATACATTGTTCTGCCCTTTTGAAGGTAATCAAAGCGGATTATACGCCGCACATCCCAAAACACGATCGCCATGTGTTGAGGATAGGTAAGCAAAGCAATTCAACTCGCAGTCGTCTTCGGTTCAGAACAGTTTATTGAGTACTTGTACATGAATGTGTAGATACGCGACAGGTGTATACCGGGCTTCCGCGGTCCGCGCGCGTGCGTTGGCTGCTGTTGTTCTTCTGCATCCTACGAGGCCTACTGACGATAACGCCATAGCTGTAACCTAAATAGGTCGGGTGGTTCTTTAGGAAGTTGGTCTATTCCTAATATTTTCATCATCCGTGACATTGTTGGATGGTATCTGATCTGGTGTGGAACTTGGAGGATAGTCCGACAACAGGCATCAAACTTCACATCATCACCAAAGTTAGCGATGAGTAATCCCAAAGCTCTAGTTGCGAAATCATTAAAATCTCGGTCCGGACGCTCCGGGTGGAGTAAGGCTGCACACAGTTCTTTTCTTGGCCGTGATGGTCCTCCATTGTTGATATAATAGCCTAAGAACTTGACATCTTGGATGCGGTCTGAACATACAGTCTTCTTAATGTTGATAATCATTCCAAATCTTCCAGCACAACTGGCTAGTCTGCTGATGCTAATCCGTTGGCTTGTTGCACATAAAGAGTCATCGCCTAAGACAACGTGATCGTGGATCTGAATATCTTGTGCACGAACACAATACTGCGTGACAATCCAGTTAACAACTGAATCAATCATCTGGGTAAAGTAGCTGCCACTTGCTACTCCCTTGGACTTACGATAACGCTCACCATTACAGAGACGGATGGGTGTATTGATAAAGTAACTCACTATCTTCTTCCATGCTCTGTAAAGCTTGCATGTGTCTGGAGTTCCGTAGTCCTGATACTCAGTCCAATCAATATTAACTGCTAAGATATCAAATGCAATGCGGATTAACCAGGCTGGTATGGTTTTATCAAAATCCTTATAGTCCAAACTCAAGAAACTTCCATACTTGGCGAACTTCATGAACAGTTTCCTGCATCCGCCACGTGCTGTCTCGTATCCATAAGCCATCGGGCTTGTGTGTTTCTTATAAGCGTCAATGAGCGGTAAAGCAAAACAGGCTTCCTGGAACGAAACGCTACATGGATATCCCCATACAGCGCGAACTTTCTTCTCCCCAGGAGCGACGAGATGTGGTCGTACATAGGCCGCACAGTCTGGTAGACTGATCTGTTTCCCCTCTTTAACTAGGTGCCACAATCTGCGAACACTTCTAAATGCGTCTGGGTCAGATGCGACTTCCTTCTTCGTCCTGTATCCATACATCTTCCATGGTAAACCAGGGGAAGACCCCCAATTATCCAAATCCTTTAGGGGCAAATCGTTGAGAGGTATTGGTTTCACCCTCTTAGGTAAGGAAAATAGTTGGAAACAATCACGGACGACCTGATCCAGAATATGATCGTCAAATTTTGGCATGCTGGATCCACCGTAGCGGCGAACGTCTTCCCTGATGTCACTCAGAGACACTGGACTCCGGATCAAGTCCCCAGCTTCCTTAGTCGCCCAATCTGGGCAGTAGAATGACTTAACAAAGGCAAAGTGCCGTTGTGCAAACGGTTTATCGACACCTATTAAGGCCATTGTAAATTCGGGAAAGGTTTTTTTTTTTTTAACAAGGGGGGAATGCATTTACGCACCATACCATAGCACGAGCTACAGCGTGTGTGGGGCTCCAGGGTCTTGAGGAGATCACCTAATACCCACTAAACCCTAAACCTCCGCGTGGCCCGACTCATCAGCGTCTCGGTAGGCCATGTGTTGTGCGTGACCTGCGGTCTGCTACAACGTCTCCTCATGTGTTTCAGTCTGTGGGAACGCCGGGTTGGTTCCCTTTACCTCGCACATTCTATCGATGTCGTTAAGCGATCATCGATAGAGGGTCTGCTAGTTTCTCTTGAAACTCTTGTTTTCGAAAAATCAAGAGTTTCAAGTCCTCTTACCAATATGTTGTTCCTGGTCCTGGTCCTGAAGGGTCCTGGTCCTGGTGGGTCCTGGTCCTGGTTGGTCCTGGTCCCGGTGGGTCCTGGTCCCGGTGGTTCCTGGTCCTCTGCATCCACGCCGTGGGGTGGGGGGGGGGGGTAGCAGCCGCAAGTTCTCCTAGTCTCCTAGTCAAGGTTCCAGTTAGCGGGTGCCAACTGGGACCTTGGTCTGGGGTACCTGGTTCTGCGGTTGCGAGGCCTCTCGTCCGGATCGTAGTCCATGAGGAATCGTAGCTGCTCGTTCGGGTGGTCCTGAGCTTTCTCGAAGGTCTTCTCCGCTTTTTTCCTCATGTATTCGTGGATGGTATCCCAATGCAGGTCTCTACGCAAGGTTGAGTTCCTTACGTAGGAAGGTGCATTGGTGGCGATCCGGAATAGCTTCATCTCTAGAGCAGCAAGTCGCTTGCGGTAGCTGGGGGCAGCGTACCCCCAGACCGCGGAGGCGTAAGCGAGCTGAGGTCTGGCGATGGCCTTGATCAGCCGTAGCTTGGTCGCTAGATGGGAAAGGTGTTTTTTTTTTTGTAAATTTTTCAAAATTTCCCTTAAATTTTCCCCTTTAAACTTATTTATAATGATTTTATAGATTAAGCTTTGGTAGTAAATAAAGTACATTGTTTTGTTTGTCTATTGTAACTATTGTATAATACATTCGCTTTATGACCCGCAGATTTAACCACAATTAAGTGGGCGTCTGTCGTTAGACCAGTCATGGCGATTCCCATCATTAACGCGCAGATTTTATCATTCGCCTCACACATTGGTTAAGCTGATAGGCTTGTCGCATTGAGATTGAGCGGAACCTTTCTGTTCCTATTCCTTCTGGAAGATTACGTCTCGCGTTTCGGTTATTATACCACGCGTCAGGCATGTTCCAGTTTGCTCCAGTCACACAGCTCCAATTAAGAGTTTGAGCCCTTCGATTGTCACCGCTTCCATCTTCTTTGTATAGTTGGAAACCGAAACAATAGGCTGACCCCATCATGGCTGTCGAACTTGTTGCTGCTGAAACGTTCTGCACATTTCGTTCTCTCCATCCTTCTACGTCGTTCAAGTCGGAAGGTTTTGATTTTATTACCTGTGATTCACCTCCACTCAAAGATAAGTTTCGAAATCGAACTTTTTCGATTTTATACGTCTCTAGTTTTCCAATGAATACTATCACAGTTAGGATAGGCGAAATATTTAAAAATGTTGAATCAATTAAATATGTTGAATCAATTACAATATTTGGAAAACTAAAGTTTGAGGATCTTTATTTCAAAAATGGCGGCAAAACCTCCAAGCCTAGGCTGACGTAAATTTTCACTCATCATTAGGAAGCGTTAATTTAACGATACGATAAAAATTTTTACTGTCGCCGCATACAAAATTTATTATTTTATTATTTCTTGGCCATATCTGTTTCGTTTTCACCACACCACTTACTCTTCAAGTAAGGATAGCAGTATTGTGGTGCCATCATGTTTGTATTACTGTGTAGTCCTTTAAGGCAAAATATTTTAATCTTAAATCATGTGCAGAAGCCTTATACAAGAAGTGATCTCCGCATGTGTGTAATTTTAACATTTATTTATTATTATATTTGTTATTTATTACCATTTTGGATATGTATATATTTCTTATGCTGGATGAATTTGGTGGGCAAAAATGGAGGCAACATATTGCAAAAAAATCGAAAGTGGTTAACGATGTGTCAACAAAATACCAAAAAATTGAATGTCGCCATGTGTATTAACTTGTATTTGAAAAACTATTCTCTTTAAATGTGACAGATGACCATTTCTTTTGGCATGTGCACCATACACATTCTCAAAGTCTATTGAAACCTCAGTGTATCGAAAAATATTTATCTTTTATGTATAATAAAGGGTAAACTACTTTGATCTCACCACTATCAATCGTCAACTTTTTACAGTTCCAAGATAAGTGCCATTAACCTTGTACAAATGGGTATCTTTGTTACATAAAATAAAAGAATGGTCATCGGTCTTTAACCAACTTTCTTATAGCTTAAAGAATATAAACAGTCTATATTGCTGAGCTATTCCTTACATCTTGAGTCGATGCTGTGAACCAAAAAGGAAATTGAAACCTTTTTGTTAATGGAATATATATTCGTAAAAATAAATTTTTTAATCATACCGTTTTTAAGTTATTCAGTTTCGTATGTGGCGTTTCTTCATTTTTACCTAGAGGTATTTCACAGATTATAGAACAAATAACATGTGTGCCTATTCATTATTATAGATGCAAAAACGGGTTACCATTGTTATCTATTCTCAGACGTTACTACGTCAGATTTTCTGAACTCGAACCAAGGCATATTTGATTGAATTTATGTTTCCATTAGATAAATCTTGTTTAGAACTGTAGGTTTTGTATTATAAATTTGTAAATATTGTTTTTTTAGAATCCAGTTTCTGAAGTGAGTACTGAGTACATCAAATAATATGGTAACACAATAGGTAGATTATGCAAACCAAACAAAAATCAGATAAAAATCTATTTTTGAATGAAAACAGTTTTTAGAAGTCTCATAGCTAAAAATAAGTAAGATAGTCCACAAACAGTATTTTGGTCACTTATATCGCAAAAAAAAACGTTCAAAGTTATATAAGTCCGTACACAAACACTAAAATTAGCACTATTCTCAACTTTGCCAATGTGTATATAGAGTCGGCTCGCACACATATAAAGTAATGATGTGATTACTCATAAAAAGAGTAAAAATGCATCCTGTATGAACCAAAATATTTTATCGAAAACATCGAGTTGGCAAGTTATATAATAAATGTTTAAGCAGGGTTTTTCCAAAACATTCAAGGAGCAATTCTTTAGAATATCCTAAGTGCCGTATCGTCAGTCGTTCGTACAATTGTAGGACGCCTTTATGACCTCCTTAATTTTCATAGTGTTGATGACACGAAACAGTAAAAATCTAGAAATACCCATGGAAGACGGGACATACTGAAAATCAAGTAGGCCATAAAGGCGTCCTACAATAATTGTACAGTATACAAATATCAATTCGCATCAAACTGTTCATGATTTTGATTTATATCTTTTGTTATATGGCCAGAAAGGAAACGTAGCCTCATAATAAGAGAGCGCTGACGCTGACACGGAACAATATAGATATACAAGTTCCCCATCTTTTCTGGAGAATAGAAAGGTCTATAAAAATCAAGGAGGCCGTAAAGGCGTCCTACAATTGTAGGAACGACTGACGATACGGCCCTAAGACTATTTTGTTTTAGTTACGGAGATATATCCACTTGAACGACGCCACTGGAATAGGTTTTTTTCTTAACGAGTTTTGAACAACATCCTATAATCCAACAAAATTTTGACAGCATAATAGCTAGTAGAGGGTAAAACCACTTATTTAGCTTGCCAAGCACTTACTAGCGCTTATGCAATATTGCTTTTTTACTCTGTACAATAGTGGCTAAAATGCAATAATTTTTTATTTAAAAAATATATTATGATTGTTTTTCTTTGGATAATGCCCAAGTAATGGCCGAAACGTTAGTAAAAGAGTAATTTAACCATCATGTGCTTTCATTTAGCGACCAGACAGTCATGGTGTCCTATCAGCATGAAAACCGCAGGATGAGTTTCAGATATTATATCCTCGGTGACATTAGAAGTGTTACCCCCAGAAAAAATAATTTCTTCAACTTCATTTCTTAGCGATGAGGTAGTCTTACATCAAGAATGAAACGATACATTCTCACGAAATTTTATTGACAAGTAATAAGGAAAAAAAATAACGTGTTGGGCGCCCCGCAGCTGAATACACTCCTGTATACGTCCAGACACCGACAAAATGAGACGATCTCTGTCTGGTTCTGACACCTCACAGGTCTACCTTCTTCTCCAAACCATTGGTCAGCGATCTAACGCGTAGTAGCAAATCGATAGGGCTAGTTGTCTGAAGCGCCTATCTTGACGTTCTGTGGTATGCCTCGGAGAACTAATTGGCCTTCTTCGTGTTCCTCTACCTTCTAGCCATACACGGCACACACGCATTACCATCATTGCAGTAAAATTAACAGGGCGGCGAATTTCGCAATAACCAATAATTCTACCCCTGTCAAAGTCGTTAACATGGTGATAATTTGGACGTCTTGGGCATTTTGTTATGCTTAGCACTAGTAAATGAAAGGGCAATAACTAAAAATATCTGTACTACTCAACTCTCAGTAAACTGCTTTCTTCATTAAGAGAACATTTTAACAAAGGCAAACAAAAACCAAAGATCAATGTTTTCACAGCATGCTTTAAATATAGTCATTATGTTGCCGAAAAAAAAGTTGAAGAAATTTTTTTTCGGGCTATAACACTTCTAATGTCACTGAGTATATTAACACACTGTATAGTCACATAACCTGTTTTGACCATTTGGGAAATACGCTGTAGGTTGGTAGTAGTAGTAGAGTAGAAAGATTTATTTAGCACATTTGGCTGCATAAACAGAATAATTGTAAACGACTTAGAAATGGTAAATTCAAGCCATATGATGTATGATGTAAATGCTGGGCAACCTATAATTGTACATTTAACAAGTGATTTCTCAATTTTACTTTAAATTTTATCAAAGTTTTCTGGTCTTTTATCTGAGTATAATTTATTATATTCAATCAACCCTTGATGGAATACAGATTTGTAGCATATTATGTTATACTTTTTGGTCATTAAATGGGAGTCATCTTTATTTCTGGTATTATGTAAATGATGGTCGACATTTGATGATGTTAAATTAGTAAGACTTGATGGAAATATATTATTTTTTACTTTATAAATGAATATCATTACAAGATATTTGATAAAATTTTTTACATTGACCCATTTTAATTTGCTAAGCTTTTGCCTAATTGGAGTATATTTATCCTTATTCAGTATTATTCTCATGCACTTATTTTGTAAAATTTGCAGTCTTTCAAAAATGGAATTATTTGCTAAATATAGTACAAGAACAGTACAAGTAATTTGGAAGAATGATGGTATTATAGATAATTTTTCTGCTATATGAATTCAGACATCCAGAAATTCTCGATAAATACTAATCTTATTTATAACTT